AAACCATTTCAGGTGACTACCTCTTGAAGCTCATGGAGAGAATGCCAAGAGTGTGCAAAGCAGTAATCAGAGCAAAGGGTGGCTATTTTGAAGAAACTAGAATATAAAACATGTTTTCAGTTATTTCACCTTTTTTTGTTAAGTACATAACTCCACATGTGTTCATTCATAGTTTTGATGCCTTCAGTGAGAATCTACAATGTAAATAGTCATGAAAATAAAGAAAACGCATTGAATGAGAAGGTGTGTCCAAACTTTTGGCCTGTACTGTATATGTTGGCTGCTGCTTTACAATTGTGCATGTGTCTTGATGTACTGGTAATCCATGGTTTCAGGCTGTGAAATTATTTAACTGTCCACACATGACCCCAACGAGACGGCTGCATGGTCGCTCCCTCCACACACTGGAAGCACCACTCTGCAGCCGCCTCTGAACAGTGAATGGCACTATCCAGGATTTAGCCAAGTTTTCAGTAAATCAAAGGTATATAGTTTCTGATAACCTGCTGGTAACTGATGTGGTACAGAGGTTGTCACTTTATTTTGAACTGTACAATGACTAGCGGGATGCTAGTTAAGCTGGTGCTCATTCTTATCCATCTTTTCCTCTTTGCTTACTGGTGTTTACATCTGAAATCCATGACCTGGCTAACTAGCAGCTAGCTAGCAGAAGAGGCAACAGGAGAGTTTACACACTAGTGAGTTGATTTCCTCTCAGTGAGTGATTTACAGCCACACACCATCATCGTCCAAAGCCAACCACAAAAAGCACCACCAACGCTTGCAAAATACACATAAGAGCCTTAGCACAAATTTAGCAGAGCTGATTGAGGGTTGAAATCATCCATGCCATGCCATTCAGAAAACAAACAAACAAACAAAAACATAAGATACAACAGTGATTCAGGATGTGGACCTTCAAATGTCAAAATAAACAGGGAAAATTTGGAGTGCAGTTCCCACTGTGTGTGTGTGTGTGTGTGTGTGTGTGTGTGTGTGTGTGTGTGTGTACAAAAAGTACAGTGTCAGTGGGTAACACAGCTTCTTGATGCATTATCTATGCTTCTCCAGTTTCATCAAGTCTCTGGGTCTCTGGTGGTATCCTCGCTGTGAGATTTGTATGTTGTCCATTTGTCCCATTTTGTGTTGAATTCAACTTGTCGGAGTCTCAGTATATGTGTGAGTCTTTCCATATCAAATATGTCCTCCACAATGTCCAGCCAGTTCCTCAAAGTGGGAGGGTCCTCTCTGCACCATCTCCTAGTGACTGCCTTTTTGGTGGCAGCTAATAGAATTTTAACCAGATATCTATCTTCACATTGAACATTTTCACTTGTCAAATTACACAGGTACAAAACCTCACATGACATTTGTAGTTCGTATCCCAGTATAGTTTTCAATTCCATCCATACATCATTCCAGTACTTTCTCATTCTAATACATGAAATACATCCCAGAAAATGTGAGTGTGTCCTGCATTCAGCTCCCCACACCTTC